GTTCCATCCCCAACATCCCATACGGTCCCCCAAGCCTGCCAGGAGTGACCCCTGAGTGCAGAGTAAAGAGATCTGAGCATACCTTCAGGGTGTGGGCTGGGACAGAGATAGTGTAAGGGTAAGACATTTATGTTGCATGCAGCTGGCCCTGGTTTTGTCCCAGCACTGCATATGGTCCCCACAGCACTTCCAGGAATGACTGTTAAGCACAGTGCCAGTAGTCCCTGATTACTTTCTGACAGTGTCTCAAAGAAACCTGCCTGGTGATGTGGATTAAAGAGTATGTGCCTTGTAAGCACGAGACCTGGGTTTGACGTGCTGCAATAAATAGATAAAAGACATTTGCCCTCTAGTTGTCTAAAGATTGGTGGTGGTGTGTTTAAAAGATTTTTTCTCTAGGAGGTATTTGAAACGTGCGAAGGAGGTTATCAAGTCTTAAAAAGATTAGTCTCTGTAAGAGTAGTGAGCCGACTAGGTTATAAGAGCTGGCTTCTATCGCCACCTAGTGTTAAATTGCTTTCGGTTACTTCAAAGTTGAATTTATCAGACTCGTTTGCCTGGGTCTCCTCAGGACCCTTCCCCTGCTGCTGGGCCCCATTTCTGCCTCCATTTAAAGTCACCAAGCCTTGCCACTGTAAGGCTTGGTATCTTTCCTTTTTAAAAATTCAGGTTCATTCTGTTCGGAATATTTAAACTTTAAGGGCTTGAGTGAGCATCCCTGGGTAAACATACCCTATGTGTGGGCAAGTTAACAAAGCCCTCCTCGAGAGAAAGGGAATGTCCTGCCACAGAGGCAGGATGGGGTGGGGGGTGTGGGGGTGGGTGGGAGGGATACTGGGATCACTGGTGGTGGAGGATGGGCACTGGTGGAGGGATGGTCACCCGATCATTGTATAACTGAAACGCAAGCATGAAAGTTTGTGAGTCTACAACTGTACCTCATGGTGTATCACTAATAAAAATTAAAAAAAACAAAATAAAGCCCTCCTCGTTTTGGGACTGAACCCTATTTGCTAGGAAGCAAATACTCACCGAGCTACATCCTAATCCCCATTTTCTTATCTTTAGATAAGAAAGCTAGAAATAGTAATACCTGTTTCATAGAGCTTTTCTGATTAGTGAATACAATAAAAACAACTTTTTGATAAAATATAAGATATTCTTATATTTAAATACTTAATATCATGCCTAAATCCTTAAGTAGAAAGTAAGTGCTGGGATTAGTGCATACCTTAGCTTCTTAAACTGGGGCTCAGGATTCCATATGGGGGTCAGGTACCACTAAATGTGGAGATGGCCAAAAAAATTGGTATGGCAGTTTCCGAATGCACAGCAGTCAAAAATTAACTCAGTCAAATACATAATAAACCTTAGGTGTTTCTGGCAGTATTCCTCTGAGCTGCACCAGGTGACATCACCAGTGTTGATTTTCAACACACATGCACACTGGGCATTGGACGGCTGCCCCAAGGCACGCCACTCACCCTTACACAAACACCTCAGCTCTGATTCTAGGCTATTCTAATTACTCTATGTAATGAATTGCAATGTTGGATTTTTTTTTTTCTTTTTGGATCACACCCGGCGATGCACAGGGGTTACTCCTAGCTCATGCACTCAGGAATTACTCCTGGCAGTGCTTGGGGAACAACATGGGATGCTGGGAATTGAACCTGGGTCGGCCGTGTGCAAGGCAAATGCCCTACCTGCTGTGCTATGGCTCCAGCCCCACAGTGTTGGATCTTGTACTATTTTTTTTTTTTACACACCTGGGGGTGCACAGAGCTTACTACTATACTCCTGGCCGTGTTTGGCGGAATGTATGGGGTGCCAGTGATTGAACCTGATCAGCGCTGTGCAAGGCAAGCACTTATGAGCTGCAAGATTTTCTCGGGACTTTTTTTCCCCTGCATGTCAAGTTTCCTGTACCTAAAGAAACACACAAATTGCTGAAGATAAAGATTTCTAGTATTTCATACCTCAGCATGTTGTAAACGGCTCTCGTAACAAAAGCAGAAGCAAGGTGGCTCTTGAGGATGAAATTTAAAGATTACTGAAACTGACGGGGGTATGGTGCCGCCAGCAGGTCAATCTGTACCTGTGAGGCGAGTGCATCAGCAGCCTGATGGCGCTTTCAGACTTCCAGATACCCCAAAATTGCTGCTGTGCCTTTGGCCAGACCCCAAAAACGTGGGGCAAAGTTTACCAAGAAAGGAAACAGTCGAAAGTTAGGTATGTGGGAGACACATCCACAAACCACCTTGGGCTCAGCTATATAATTGGAGGCAAGTCCTCTCTGGCTCCTGATCAAACTGCTTGATGGCCATGATCCCAGAGACTCAGAAACAAACCTCAAAACCCAACGGCATTTGGCAGAAATGTGTCCGGTCCTTGCAGTAGGTTACTAGCGCTGGGCCACCCCAGGTGGGAACAGCTTTCGTGCCTTGGCCTGTTCCTCCTGGCAGCCCGGAGGCCTCCATCCAGTCAGGTTTGGGCCCTCAGTGACGAGACATGCGGGGTCTCACGGAATGGGGGTGGAGCCAGCCCTTTCCTCCCCACCCCAACAAGACCCCGAGTTGCTGCCCACGAACGGCCTCTCTGGCTCCTGATCAAGCTGATTAACGGCCATATCCCAGAGTCTCAGAAACAAATCTTGAACCCAGAGGCTTTTGGCAGAAATGCGTCCGGACCCTGCTGCAGGTTATTTTTGCCAGGCCACCCCAGGGGGGAAACGGTGCTGTCTTTCTGCCTGCTCCCCCTGGCGGCCCGGTGGCCACCATTATCCAAGAGGCCACTGGATAGCCTGGGCCCGCAGTGATGAAACACACGGGGTGTCACGGGATGGGGGCGGAGCCGGCCCTTTCCTCCCCATTCCAATGAGACCGAGTCGCTGCTCATGATCGGCCTTTCTGGCTCCTGATAGGCTCCTTAATGGCCATGATCCCTAAGGCTCAGGAGCAAATCTCGGAACCCAGCAGGTTTTGGCAAAAAAAATCCACCCAGATTTGATAAAATTTTCTAACTTCAAAATCGGTGGCCACTACTGCAGTCATGCGACATCATGTTATTCTTAATGAGCAAGAGAAAACAAATCTACTGTTCCCTTTTCAGCAGATCTGAGTGTTGGGGTAAAATCCCAAATAATAATGGTGGGTCTGGTGTCAAAATACTGAATGTAATCAAAGTAGAGAGTAATGTGGAAATCATCTGCCTTACAGGTATGGGGGAGGGTATGGAATGGGGGTATACTGGGGCTTTTGGGGGTGGAAAATGGGCACTGGTGAAGGTACGGGTGTTTCATTGTATGACCGAGACTTAAACCTGAAAGCTTTGTAACTGCTCTCATGGTGAGCCAATAAAATTATAAAAAATGAAGAAAAATAAAGTGTGGAGTTCATGCCCAATTCAATCAGCTAAACCATTGGCTCAATAATAGCAGTACTCCGACTAAAAAAAAATTAAAAAAGAATAAAGATTACTGAAACTGAGATAGTTGTATTTTTCACTGGGCAGAAATCCAACTTGGGAATTATTTTTCTCTAATCACGATTTACAAAACTGTTAATTTTTCATGGTTTTGGAATCACACCTAGTGATGCTCAGGTGTTACTCCTGGCTTTATATTCAGGAATTACTTTCGGTGGTGCTCGGGGGACCGACCATATGGGATGCTGGGGATTGAACCTGTATTGATTGAGTGCAAGCAAATGTCCCACCGACTGTACTATCTCTCTAGTACTCTTGTTGCTTTTTTTTTTTTGGTCAATGATTTAAAGGTTACTTTAAGAAGAAAAGCAATTTTGTCAAAATGCAAAGTTTTACTAAAAAAATAATCGCGCAAAATGACTTAGAAATGTTTATGGCTACTGATGAATTTTCAATGGAAAATAACCTTCCCAACGATTTGTTATAATTTCAGCTGAAGTGCCTAGGGGAGAGTTTGAGAAATATCTCCCTTCAATTTTTGATTTTAAAAAAACAAATCTGGGCTCATAATGAAACACACTCAACTGAAATTAAAGATGCCAGTTACTTGCCATTAGTAGTTGCCAAGCTACCAAGCAACAAGGTTTAAAACGAGCATCTTCATGGGCTGGGGGTGTGGCCCAGTGCTAGAGCATTGACTCGATTACCTGAAGCCCTTAGGTCCAATTCCTGGCACCGGATGGTCTGCTGACCACTAAGCCAGGATGCTCCTGGTCATTACTGTGTGTGGCCCAAAAACAAAACAAAAAACCAAAATAGTTGTTCTCTAAAAAAAAAAATAAAATTTTGGCTTGGGCCACTAATTAACAACAAATGGATCAACTGAAAAACACCGAAGATGCTAGTATCAAATAAACAGCTGTCATGTTTTAAAAAATATTAAACACATAGCGACAGGGATACTATAGCTGGTAGCCAGAGAGAGTGTACAGGGGCTTTAAGGCACTTGTCCTACATACAGGCAACTGTGATTTGATCCCTGGCACCACAAGCATCATCAGGAAACCTTGATTAAGAACCAGGAAGCAGCCCACTATAGTACTAATAACTAAGCACATTTCAAGAGCATTAGAATCTAAAAAATACTTGAGAAGGTAAAAAACACTGTCTTATAAGATAAACTTATGTCTCACTTGTACACAAAATGCAAAAAGAGTTTATTTGCTGGTTACTGAATTCTGAAATACAACCCCACATAAATAATGGCAAATAATTCAAGCCGGCCTACTCAAACTACTTTAGCGTTGCTAGAAAAAAAATCAGATATGTAAATGAAGCTGTATTAGTAATAGAAGTGACTTTTCTTAGTTCCCATAAATTGAACTCAAGCTTGTCTATTTCAGTCTGATCTGATACCGAAGCTGACAGAGCCCTCCACATTACATGTGCATGGTCAAGTGATTTTACCAGTTGGTGACAGAGTACAGCTTAGCACTTAAACCCATATTTAACAGTTGTCTATTGAGGCAGATGAACTAAAAATAGTATTGTGTAAAAAAAAAAAAAACCAACAAAAAACAGAGATGAAGCCAGGTGAGAGTACAGTGGGTACGGTACTTGTCTTGTATGTATAGTCCAACCTGATTTCACCCCCAAAATCAGATATAATTCCAGGAGCACTTCCAAGAGTGATTCCTAAGCACAGAGTCAGACCTGGGCTCAATCCCCGGCATGGTCCTATATGGTCCCTGAACACCACTAGGAGTAACTCCTGAGTACAAAGCAAAGAGTAACCTCTGAGCATTGCTAGGCGTGGCACCCAAACAGACCAAACCCCAACAGAACAACACACCAAACCAACAACAAAATCCCAAAGATGAGGACAGAGAGGCAGCATGAATTCGGTACTGAAAGTTCATATGCAAGCTTGCATTTCATTTTTGCATGTCTTATTCTTCAGTATGTTTTTGAATTGTACCTGGAGTGTTCAGGGGACCATATGTGATGCCAAGGATGGAACAGGAGCCAATCACATTCAAGGCAAGTACTCCTGTACTATTGTTCTATCTTTCTGGTCCATTTGGTTAAGCCCAAATAACTGTTTTCCTTACTAACATTAACCAACAGATTTTTCCTCCAAAAATTTTCTAGGTGGCTGTACCAAATTATACATACATTTATAAATCAGTTCTCATAATGAAAACATTTCCTACAACACTATACACAACACATTCAGGATCACTGATTGCTTTTTTTCTGTCTTTTTCTCTTTGAACGTGTAGGCATCTGAGATGCTTGTGTGTCTTCTTTTACTTCAGATACAGGCTGTTTGAAAACGATTTCATCATCGTCATCATCATTCATGTTAATTACTTCTGATTTTCGTTTCTCCAAGAATGTTGGTGTACAAACTGGTGTGGGGCCCTGGATCCAAAAAGATAAGAAATGTTAACAGATACACGGAAAGATGTTAGAAATGACTTCAGTTCCATCGCCTCCTCTCAATTTACAAATTAAGCTGTGTTACTTTGGCTTTGTTTCCACTTTTCAGCGAGACAAACTTAGCATGGAAATTCCACAACTAATTACAATATAGCTTACTTTAGGTATAAGGTAGAAAACTCTCATGTTAAGACTTAAACTTATAAAGACTGTTTATTTCTTCTTACTGACTCAAAAATGCAACAAACTGCACACACACACACACCCCACAGCTGCTGCCATGGAAGTTCATCTATTGGCCCAGCTCCAGACTCATAGTAATCTTGAAGAGATCAACCAGCTGCAAAAATTTCTGATATACCAGTCCTTGGCTGAGAACTCTGGAGTGCCCTCCAAATCTCTGCTCTACCAAGCCCCAGCAGTCTCACTCACATATCTCAGCTGCCAACAGGCCTACAGCTAGACTCCACCTCACGACTGAGCTCCCAAGAGATGCCACAATGCCCAGAATTTCAGGTACACCGGCGATCTTTTTTCCCCCTGAGAATTTGGCCTTCTTGGAGACAACACCAAGTACTTCCAGAAGTGCTGGTAACCACCGGCATGCAAACTCACGGCCCAGATGATATTCTGGATTTTCTAGACATCTCCAAACTCTACGATACTAACATCCCAGTTGCACACCAAATTGGATGGGAATGTAACACAGAAGCCAACTAAGCTTGATGAATCACAGATGGCTCAACTAGCAACAAGAGCTTAGTAAACCCTCAGACAAGGACTCGATGTTCTCATGGTGAGATACAAGTTCACAAATTTTCTTCTACTGAAGTATTTTTTTTATCATTCCATTAGCCATTTAGTGGTAGCAAACAATATAAAATTGTTTTGGGCCAGGTGTGGGGGCAACAGGTAAGGAGACAATAGTGGAGTGAAGGTGACAGTGGTGGTGGGGTTGGAATACTGAATGCCTAGAACAAAATTATCATGAACAACTCTGAAAAGCACGATTTTTAAACAAAGCGGAAAACATCTGCAATAAACCCATAGTATCTTTTGTTAGGCAGTGGAAGTTTATCCAAACATTACAAGGTTAAATTTGAAAACTTAGGGGCCGGAGCATAGCACAGCAGGTAGGGGTTTGCCTTGCATGCTGCTGACCTGGGTTCAGTCCCCAGCATACCATTATGGTCCCAAAAGCACTGCCAGGAGTAATTCCTGAGTGTATTAGGAGTAATCCTGAGCATCGCTGGGTGGGACCCCCCAAAAAATAAAGCCATGGAAACAGAAACCGCTTTTCCTCCTTCAAACCCGATCCCTGAATATGTAGTGTATAACCCTATTCTCTTCCACCAATGCAAAGCAAGTGCCTTGCTGCCAGAAAGCTACGGTACTGAAGAGTACAACCACCAAACCCAGAGTACCATTTTACCTGGCTATCCACAGTGTTTTCAGAAGTTTCAGGACTGATGACCACCGTTGTCCTCTTCTTGTTTGTCCTCTTCTTGCTCTTCCTTTTATTTTGAAGTGCCTTCAATAAATTTTAAGATTTTATTAACACATTTATCAGCTAAAGCAGCCTTGAATATATTTTCCTAGTTATCTCTCAAGTATGTGAGGTAGATCAAGTTTTACCTTGGTCTCTGCAGGTTCTTCAGAGCTGGAAGCCTCTGTGTGTATGACCTTATGTAAACACAAAGAAACATTACACTGGCAGTCTCACATGCCTGGATGTTCAGTTTACCATTAAATCCTTATATACACTCAAGTCAATCGATTCCCTCTAAATGAGAGAATTGCAATTACATTAAAAAAAAAACAACAAACCAAAACAGTAACTGAGACCCTAGCACAAAAATTTGTAAGCCTATAACTGTACCTCATGGTGTTTCACTAATAAACAACAACAACAACAACAACACAACCCCACGAATGATCCCAAATAAAGGGCAACAGTAGAGGGGTCAAATTAAGAAATGGACATAAGCTGTACAGGCTGAAGTGAGAAAACCCAGCCTGGAGCCAGCCAGTCTTGAATCAAGGTGGAAGAGTAGGCTTTGGTGACTGCCTATTCTGGCTAAGCTGGGGGTGGGTGGGGGATGGGCTGGGATGAAGGGAAGGTGGTTGGAACTGGCCAAATCGATGAGTAACTGAGCAAATCGATGAGTAACGGGGTATCAAGTGATCAAGTATTTACTGATACAATGAAACAAGGTTTAACTCTAGCCACAGTATCTTTTTCTCTTGGTGGTAGTGGTATTTGGGCCATACCCAGCAGTGCTCAGGGTTTATTCCTGGCTCTGTGCTCAGGGGACTGTATGTGATACCAGCGATCAAACTGAGGCCAGCGGTGTACAAGGCAAGTGCCTGACCTCTGTCCTTTCTCCAGTTCCTGGTAAGAACTTTTATGAGTAACCCACGAGCACTGTTTTCTGGTTAAACAGAGACATGTTACAATTAGAAAGGTACAAAGCCCGCCCCATAAAAAACAAAATACCATTCCATGAGAGCATTTACCAAAGACGGGAAACTATAATCAATTCCCTTTCTTGCCAACTTCTTTCTGAGTAATTTTTCTTTCTTCATAAATCGTTTCTGCATCCGCAGCTTTTGAATAATATCCCGGTCCTCATTATACCGTTTTACTGCTAGAAATGATGGCCCTTTAAATGGCTTATACCATTCTCTAAAAAGTACTTCATGTACGTTTTCTGGCGGCACAACATGACCTATATTGAACACAGGAAAAAAGATTTCTGATTAAGTAGGAGGGAGAGGATTTTAATGTTCAGAACTCCCAGGGTCATTCCTCACATCAAACGTGCTTAACACTTTTATTCTTTCCTTTCTCCTATGTCTCGTTTTCCCACTTACTACATTTTTATTAAGATCACATCTAAAATAATGATTTGTCTGCGGATGTAGTTCAGGGTGAGAGTATACACTTCATCTGGATGAGAACCTGGGTTCAACACGAGCACCCGGGTTGGAGATCCAGTTTAGTGGGTAGGACACTTGCCTTGCAAATAGCCAACTTGGGCTCTCTTCTTGGCACCACACATGGTCCCCCAAGTCTGCTAAGAGAAAATTCTGGAGTGCAGAGCCAGGTATAACCCTGAGCACTGTTGGGTGTAACGGAGCAGGAGAGAGGGGTGAGAGGGGCCTGTGGCTCACTCTGGCATCACATGGACTCCAAGAACTTCTTGGTCAGTCCAAAATGGCCTGACTAATGGATCACTATGGATGGACATACATGCACACGCACGCTGATAGGGGCCAATTCTGGGGATGTTTTAGCCTGGCTAATGAATCACTATGGCTATACTAGCAGTACCAGGGAATGAAGCTAGGGGTCTGTTACATACAAAGCCTGTTCTTTACCATGGAAGCTATCCCTCTGCCCCAGTAGTCACACTTTGGAAGCTTTTAAATATTTGAGTACTAAGGATTCAATGCAGAGCCTCAAACATAAGACACGTGTGCTATAACTGTGCATACTGCACGAGTAGCTGTTTTTCCTTTCCTTTTAAGGGGAGTTTGGGCCACACTCCATGATAACCAGAATCACTCCTGGCAGTGCTTAGGGTACCATATAGAGTGCAAACCCAGGTTGGCCGTGTGCAAGGCAAGTACCTTACCCAAGTATTATCATTCTGGCCTCCGTAGGCAAAGGTAACCTTGATCTCAAAGAAGTTACTGAGAACTTTCCACAGCGACAGGAATTAAGCTAGGGACACTGCTCAGCATCTGTATCAGACATGTGGGACCCGGACACTGAAATGACTGTATTTCACCTGGGGCACATACAGGCCACGAACCAAACCTTTCAGTGGAAATGCAAGGCCAACAACTCTAGTTTCAGCAGGATGAGGTGCTGGTCTACAGAGTCTCTCCTCTACTCAAAGCATCTCTTATGGAAGAGCTGCAGGCTGACTTAGAAATTCGATCCCTCACTGCCCCCGCCCCCCAATACATCCTATCAAAATCCAAAAGTTTCTTGCTCCTCCCAGGATACAGTTAAAACCCCACATACTGTATCCCCCTGCCTTTTTAAAATCAAATCACCGTGAGATAGTTACAACGCCTTCATGATTTAATTCCAGTCATAAAATGATTGAACACCCTTCCCTCCACTAGTGTACATTTCCCACCACCAGTATCCCTCCCATCACCCCCACCTGACCCCACCCTCTGCCTCTACAGCAGGCACTTTCCTTCTTACTCTCTCTCTACTTTTGGGCATTATGGTTCGCAATACAGATACTGAGAGGCTATCATGTTTGGTCCTTATCTACTTTCAGTGCACATCTCCCATCCCGAGAGATCCCCCCAACCATCAATGACTTAGTGATCCCTTCTCTATCCCAGCTGCCTTCTCCCCCAGTTCAGGAGGCAGGCTTCCAATTGTAGAGCAATTCTCCTGGTTCTTGTCTCTACTGTCCTCGAAAATCACAGATTCATAAAGTTGCCAGCAACCCAAATCCCCACACCTACTTCCATTCCCACCTCCAGCTCCTCTCACATTCCTCCAAGGGTAAAGGCTCCTCCCGTGCTGCTATGCGCCCCCCCCCCCCGCCCCCCCGCCGTGGCCTCTATCTTCACTCCCTTCCCCTAAATCTGCTGACTCGCCTTTCTTTAGGTTTCAACTTAAATGATTTTTCCTTGGGGGAAAATTCCATATGCCATTAGGAATAGGTTAATTGCTTACCATACATACTCTTTGAGTAACTTGTCCCAATTTCTTCTTGGCGTAACACTACTACTGGTCTGGAAAAGCGGAATTTTCCATCCAGTTGGACTGTCTAGAAAATGCACTTAAATCCCTGCACCATTCCTTGAGAGAACCACCACAGAGATGCAGAATCGGCAGGACACACCACTCATCACCTGCACACACTCCTGCAAGCCCAAAGGGACATCACTTACACTTTAAGACTCTTTCACCAAAAAGATAGTTGTTCATTGTTTGAGCAACTATTTTGGCAACATCTTCTGATTCAAACTCCACGAAGCAATATCCTTTGCTATTTCCAGTCTGAAATAGAAAATCCATCACAGTAACAATGAATTCCATTAAGTTCTGAATTTAACTCCATCATCAAATATCAAATCCATCATCAAATATCAGCATGACACCTTTAATTCTAACTTCAATTCAAAGAATTCACATAACAGGAAAAGATTGAACATGCCACTAACTTTAAGGTACCCTGGATTAGAATGTATTTATTTTTTATTTTCAAGGGGTATCCCAGGTGGTCCTCAGAGCTTACTTCTGGCTCAGCACTCAGGGGTTACTTCTAGCAGTGCTTAGGGGACCATATGGAATGCCGGGGATCAAACCCTGCCCAGCAACACGCAAGGCAAGTGACCTACTTGTTATATTATTGCTCACGCCTCTGGACTGGAATCGATTTAACAGCAATAGGATCATATTCAGGAAATCTACTAGGTCCCCACAGTCCTTTGCTCCTGATTGGCAGCCGTATCATTCACATATCCCTATTATTCATCCATCAACACTCACAAGATTGAAAAATTCTTCAGAAAATGCAGGTATTAAAATGTTTTTTTTTTTGAGGGGATTTCTCCTCCCCACCCCCCGCCCCAGCAATGCTCAGGATACACTTCTGTGCTGCCGGGAAACACAGTGACGGGGATCGATATGGGGTCAGCCTAATGCAAGGCAAACCCTTAACCCCTGTACTAATACTTCTGGCCGACATAATTTAAACAAACAAAACAAAACAAAACAAAACACATTTTTCTTGAGGGGTGGACATGCCGGTAGTGTTCAGGACTTACTCCTGGCAAACTGGCAGATTGCATGCAAGGCAAGCATGCTACTGGCCCTACCAACCGCACTATGTCTTTGGCCCATCTTTTTGTTCTTGTGGCTATTTCACATAAACTGTCAGCTTTTGAAAATTAAAGACAAAAATCTTACCTTTGGACTTCTGTACAGTTTGAGTTTCGTGACGGTGCCAAACTGAGAGAAGTACTGGATGAGCTGAGTTTCATAAAGTGCGGGTGGTAAGTGGGCCACATAGATCACTCCGGGAGTAAGTTTTTCAGACTGTTGGTTTTGCTGAAATCACAAGCAGCAGGCAAACACATATTTAACTTCCTGCTTCTTGGTCCAGGACAAGAATTTAAGAAGCTACCTTGTATTTGCAGTGACCAAAAAACTTAAAAAACTCAGCTGTTTAAAGTCTATATCCCTATTAAAGCAACGATCAGCACCCAACATAGGGTAAATGCTCAATAATTACGTTAAATCAAGGGATCTTTCCAACACGTTACCTTTTTGGGGGGTCACGCCCGGCTATGCTCAAGGTAGACTTCTGGCTGGGCACTCAGGCATCACTCCTGGTGGTGCCTGGGGGGAACATCAGGCCGCAAGGCAAACGGACGCCCCATTCCCCATTACTTAAAATCTTTTGGCGGCATACTACATTAGTGTACCTTCAAGACGCCTGCTCGTTTACTCATACCCACCTAGTCAAACAATTTCGAGGCCCTTTCCAGCACGGCTTTCTACAAACACAAGTTTAAATCCTCCCAACGTGTGTTCTCTGCTACAAAAACAGGGTAAAAGGGGCCGGCTTGTCACGGGACCTCGCCAAGCACCTGGCACTTCCCAGCAGGGTCTTTTTTATTTATTTTGCTTTTGGCGATACTCAGGGGGTTCTTCTGGCTCTGCACTCAGGAATCACTCCTGGCGGTGCTCGAGGGGGCCGTCTGGGACGAGGGGGCCTGAGCCTGCGCTGGCCACATGGCAAGGCAGACCCCCCGCCCCCCCCCCCCCCCGGCTGTCCTATGGCTCCTGGCACCCAAGCACTGTCTTTTGCATTTTTTTTGGGGGGGGTGTGGAGGGGGAGGAGGGAGGCCACACCCGGCGATACCTAGGGGTTCCCCCTGGCTCTGCACTCAGGAATCACTCCCGGCGGTGGTCGAACCTGGGTCCCCCGCGCGCGAGGCAAGCAAACGCCTTCCCGGCGGGCCTATCCCTGCGGCCCCCAAGCAGTGTCTTCTAAGCACTTTATGGCTCAAAAAGGCAAGGGCCAGGGGGACAGCTGGGAGCCGAGGGCTGCAGTGCTCGCTTCCTAAGGGCGAGGCCCACACCTCCAGCAACACCGGGTGCGCCCCTGAACACAGCCAGGTCTGCCGGGGTGGGGGTGGGGGTGGGAGGGACGGGGAAGCAACACGCAACTTAAAAGGCCCCCAGCGGGTCCTCGTCCTCTGCCCGCTTCCGGGTCTCCCGAGCGCCGGGCGGGGCGCGCCAGCTGGCACGCGGGGCTCCGGGGCGGCGGGAGCAGCTCCTTCCCCGCGCGGGGGCCCGGCCCCCGGCCCGCAGCTTCCCACGCGGCCGCCGGCGAGCGCCGTCACTCGGGGGCACGGGCCCGTCGGCGGGGGCCGCCGCTCACCGTTTCCTTGGCGCGCTGACGGATCCGCGCCACCTCCCTCCGAAACTCGTCGTCCTTCTCCGGGCTCAGCGACAGCAGCGGCTTGGCGGGGCCGGCGGGGGGAGCCATGTCCGGAGCCGCCTGCGACGGGCCACGCGGCGCACCCGGAAGTGCACCCGGCGCCTCGGGCGGAAGTGGGAGGCGCGCGGCGGAGCGCGGGGGCGGGGCGAGCGCCAGACCGAGCTCGGGCGCCCCGATTGGCGGGATGCCCTGGCTCGCGCGTGGGGCGGGGCCACGCGCGCGGGGCGGGGCGACGCCCGCAGGAGCTGGGCGTCCCCTCGTGGCGAGAGGCTCCTCGACTCTCCAACGGGGGCGGAGCGACGCCGGGGTGCCCCTGCGTCTTGCTCTCCAGAGGCCTTAGAGTGGGCCTTACTTTCGTGCCTTCTTGGAGGCCAACTGTTTTTTTTTAAGTCGATTTATTTAGTTTTGGCGTATAGGCCACACCCGGCGATGCTCAGGGTTCGCTTCTGGCTCTACATTCAGGGATCACGCCCGAATCGGACTTAGTTGGGGACTGTGCGAAGTATTGGGGATAGATAGAATCTAGGTCAGCTGTGTGCAAAGCGAGCTCTCTACTGGCTAGACTATCTTTTTGGCCCCGGAAGAGGTTGTTATTAAACATAAATTCCAGGGAAAAAGAGATAAGCCACAGGGTTGGACTTCAATTCTGGCGACCGCAAAATCCACCTTGTACCATCGGGTGTGATCCTCCTGGCACAGTAGCACTGCATCTCTGTCCCAAGCTCACATGGCTAGATCTAGTATCACTGGGAGTGGTTTTTGGGTCTCCTAAGCCCCACTTGGGAGCCCTCCAAATAAACTCTAAAAGAATACCTATGCTTTTATTAGCTGTTCATTGATTTTCAGTATTTTTTTCTTTCACTTCTATTTTTGATCACATCTAGCGGTGCTCAGGGGTTACTTCTGGCTCTGCAGTCTCAGGAATCCACTCTTGGTGGGTTCGGGGGAACCATATGGGTTGCCAGGGATTGTTTAAGGCAAGCACCCTGCCTGCTGTACTATCTCTTTGGCCTCTTTGCTTGTTCCTTGAAACCTGATGGGTGGGGTTCCTGCTATTAGAGGAGAGGCAATGAGGTGACTGAGTGAAGGCTGGTTTCCTCTTGGTTTTGAGTGATGAGGATGGAACCCTAGGGCTCACATGGGCAAAATCAGAGCTCTAAGACTTGTCCCACATCTCCCAGCTGGGAGGTTGCATTTGACTGGAGATCAAGATCTGAGGGCTGAAGAGAGCAGGGTGTGAGACCAGGAAGCCCTACAGTGCTGTAATTGACAGCGGGACAGTGACCCTAGGCTGGAACCAAGCTACTGCGTTTGGTGGTGACCAAGACTGAGGCCAAACCAGAGCCAAACGGCTCTGTGCTCTGTGCATCAGGTTTAACATCTATAAATGCAAGGGTATGTGAGGATTTTGTCTCTTTTTTTCCTAGTACTGTTCTACAAAGAATGGGGAGTGGGCTGCAGTGGAAGCAGGGAACCCAGACTACTGCAGTAATACCAACAGGGTGGGTTTGAAGAGTGTTTCAAATCAGAATGGTCGAGATGGGAGGGTTGTGCAAGTGTGGGAGGGAGTGGGGGGGCGGTCACACTGGACAGATTGTGCATTGAGAGGTCAGCAGTTCCCTTGGGAGATGCTTTCTGCCCATGTCCCTCTCAGCCTTTTGCACCCCCATCACCCCAAGCTCTGCTCCACTGTCACATCTCTTCCTGACCTGGTAACCAGGGTAAGCTCTTCTCTTAGGGCTCACTCACCCCTATTTTCATGAGGACAGTGATGAGCATTTTGTTTTTAAGTGCTAGGGATAATTTGAGTGTTAAGTTGGAAATTAAGCATTTCCAGCAAGTTGGAAATGCTTTAAAAGTCTTGTTTTAATACAGTTTTATAATACTTGTGATAATACAGTTTTCCTTTGACGTGGGCAGTTGAAAAGCAAAGCAACTGTGACAATGTTCTGCTGAATTAGAGGCATTAGAAACAAGTCTTTTTGCTCAGAGCTTGTGCTGTAAGGTTTACTTCGGGGACTCTGGCCCCAGCAGCTATTATTAAACGGTAGATATAGTGATTTAAACAATGCATTTGGAGCCGAGCCTCAACACTTGCTAGGAACATAAGATCTTAGAAAAATCAATAATATTACCATTACTCCATTAACGTCCCAGTATAATAATACAGATAAAAAGCAGTTTCTCGGGGGATGGAGATAGCACAGCGGGTAGGGCGTTTGCCCTGCACGTGGCCGACCCGGCTTCGATTCCCAGCATCTCATATGGTTCCCTGAGCACTGCCAGGAGTAACTCCTGAGTGCAGAACCAGGAGTAACCCCTGTGCATCGCTAGGTGTGACCCAAAAAGCAAAAAAAAAAAAAAAAAAAAAGGCAGTTTCTCCATGAAGTTAAAAGAAAAACGTGTGACACAAAGCCGTCCACAAATTAACATTTAATTGATAGACGCAACCATTTAAGCTCTTCTGGAGAGTACACGAACAAGAAAACGGAAATTGTCACCACGTTTGCTTCAAGAAAAAGAAAAGGGGTCGGTATTACTTTTAACTAGAAGGGTCATTTCCTATAGTAAATCCTTAAAAATGGGTAATACCTACATTCTACAGTAACCACTTAAAGATGGTAATACAGTCAGAGAATACGTTAGAAAAAACAAAAGGGCGGAGAAGAAATCGTCGCTATCAAAATATCCTATACAGTCACATGTATTCTTTCCCCGTGCAATGGTCTCTTAAAAATCTGCTGTACGTTAACAGTAAAAAAAATTAGGACACCGTAATTTACATCGTTATTTATAACTGACTTTGAAGTGTACAATGTTTCAACACAGTCCCACCACCAGTGTCGACTTTCCTCCACCAATGTTCCCTCCCACTCCTGTGCATTTTTGCAAATAGGAACGCACCGCCTTCCCCAAGTCCAATTTTTACATGAAAGCTGAAATCGCTCTACATCCTTCTACACCGAGTTCCTTATGCATACTCTTCAGTACTGTGACTTTTCCACGCCAACTGCTAATAAAGAAAATCACACGGCTTCAAGCTAAGAGCCACCCTCCGCAGACAAGCTCCAGCCTAAAGCCCCGAGCTTCTGGCTCTCGGCCCACGTGCTCCGAGGGCCCTTCTCCAGGGCTGTCTCAGGCGATGCCTGTGGAAAGAGCCCAACGGGAGCCCCGCCCACTTCCCAGCCTTGCCCTGTCCTCTCTGGGCTTCGCGCTTCAGGCAAGCGCGGCGGACAGACCGGCGGATTGCTGCGCGCCGAGGGCCTCGGAGGACCCCAGCGACCTACGTAGCGAAGGACCCGGTGGACGCGGCGGCAGCGGCAGCGGCGGTTGGTGTTGCGATTCGCCGTCCCGGTTTTTCCCTGAAACGCTCTTCTCCGGCCAACGTGGTTGTACTGCTTGGTTGTTGGACTGCCGGGCGCCATGTCCGTGAGCGAGATCTTCGTGGAGCTGCAAGGCTTTTTGGCTGCCGAGCAGGACGTCCGAGAGGTGAGTGTCGTCTCCCCCGCATCCCCGTTGCCTTTTCCTTGCGGGTCTGGGCTACAGCGCCGGGCCCTGCCCCGCCGCTTTCTTCTCTAAGCGGGGGTGGGGGTGGAGAAGGCAGGGGGTGGGGCGGGGTCGTGGGTTGCGGCCTCTCGTTTCAGTATCGGGCGCCTCCTCCGTGGTGCTTCGGTTCTTCAGCCCCGGCCTGCTGGTGTCTCCTCGCATCTCGGAGGGTCCCTCTCGTGCACATGGATGTCGAAGCGCTCTGGACTCGGCCAGCGCGCTCGTTGGGTGTTTGTGTTGCTGGTGTCTTTCAAGCGCGCGTTTTCTCTCCGCGGGCTTCTCGTTCCTGTAGGACAAAAATGCCAACTCGGCTATGACTCGCTGGACTCTGTCTCTTTTCCCTTTTATTCTCTCTTCCGTTATATGTGTAGGTCACTCAGTTCAGGTCCTTATCATTACAGTGGTTCCCCAGTTTTCTTTTGCGGGACTTTCAAATTGTACGGTTTGTTTTTCCTGAAAGGCGCTGCAAAACTTACAGTCGTCTCCTTGGCCTAATTTTTTTTTTTTTAAATTACGCAGCCGTAGTGCAGCGTAACTGGATCATAGAGCTCGGCAAACTACCTCCTGTACTGTGGCTCCCTCGGATTCCCAAATATTTAAACACGGCCTAACACATAAATGTGCTCAGAGAGTATTCGTGAAAAGATTTAGTAAAAAACACCTAGCACTGCATTGTATTTCATTCTTCCTTTTGCAAATTACGTTCCACTGGGATTTTCTTTTGGTTTTGACCTACACTGGACTGTGCTCAGGAGCTCCTCTGACGTGCTGCAGAAGGGGTTTGGGAGTGGGAAGGGTTGTTGCTCCTGGAGAGCCGTGTCGTTCTGGTGCCAAAAACCCAGAATCCTGCATTTGGAGGAGGTACATGGTCCTTTGAGCAAACTCTTAGGCCGTCTAGTGGCGGATTGGTGGTGAGTGGGTGACTTTGAAAGTCAGAGGTACAGTTAAAGACTGTTTGGTGACTCCCTGGAGTTCCCCAATGAAGGAGAGAAGTAGAGGTCAAGATTCGAGCCTGGATACTTTGTGTACCTGTTCAGACCTTGTAAAGATGTTTAGTGATTGAATATATGTGAAAGTTCCATAACTTAAATTGACTACAAGAATTATTGGATTGAACTTATCTGATATTTTGATTTTTAATTCTCTAGGAAATTCGGAAAGTTGTACAGAGCCTAGAACAAACAGCTCGGGAGATCTTAACTCTACTGCAAGGTGTCCATCAGGGTGCTGGATTTCAGGACAGTAAGTTCTTTGTTTTGATTGTGAAAGTTTTAATTCAACTTATGATTCTGTTGTCTTGGTCAGTTGTGAGGGTAATACCTTGTGGTGCCCTGGAATAGACTTGTGCTGGGGAGAGGAAACCAGGTATTTGCATATGCCGATATGTGCTCAACCACTTGAAACACCTTCCCAGCTCTTATCATTTGCATATTTAAAGAGTGTTTCAACTGAGAAAACCTAAACACACATGACTTTATTATGAAGTGGTGTTCCACCCTTACTGGTGAGTCAAATTTGGAGAAGTAGAGAGTTGATCATTTTATTGGTTTTTAGTATTGTCTTTGCTTGCTTTTTCACTTTCCTATAGTATGGCTTAAATGGAAATATTTCTTGTCTTTTGTTTTGGTTATATCTAATGGTGCTCAGGGATCATGCCTAATGGGGCTCTGGGGGTCATTCGTGGTGCCTGGGATTGACTATAGGTAGGCAGCTTGCAAGGCAAACACCCTACTGTTCATACTATATCTGCCCAGGAATATTTCTTTTTTGGTGGGGCCATACCCAGGAGTGCTCAGGGGCTATTCTTGTTTTTCTGCTCAGGAGTGACCCCTGGTGGTAGTGTTACCATATATGGGTGTCAGGGATTTGAACTGAGGTCTGTGGGACATAATTCCTGTATTATCTCTGACCCTAAGTAGCAGTGTTTCTAACTTGATTGGATTCTGGTGACTGCAGTAGTTAGACGAGTCTCTTGAGTATCTGGAAACTTGAGTATCAAGACCCACCCCCTGTGGTGCTTGGGGTGTTACTCCTGGCTCTGAGCTCTGGTCACTGGCTCTGGTCACCCCTGGGAATATTGGGGGACTGTACTTGGGTACTCAGGATAGATAGGCAAAACATGCACTCCACCCCATTGAGTGCATATCTCTTTGACCCCTCTGGCCACTTTCACTTGGCTACTCTTTTGGGGGTAGGGGTGGGAGCGTATGTGGGTTGGGCTTCATTTGGACTCCTCTGGTCACTTTTATTTGGTTCTTATTTTTTGGAGTATGTGTGGTGGGGGCAGGTGTCAAGCTTCACTTAGCTGTATACGGGGCTTACTCCTGGCTCTGTACTTTCTTGATCATATGGGGTACTAGGGATCAAACCCATATGGCCTGCCTGTAAGGCACTTGCCTTATTTACAGTACTCTCTGGCCCTTGATTCCTTTTTTGGGGGTTGGGGGTGGGGCTCACATCCAGTGATGCTCAGGTACTCCTGGCTTTGCACTCAGGTATTACTCCTGGTAGTGTTCAGGGGACCGTCTGGCATACCAGAGATTGAAACTGGGTTGACTGCCTACAAGGCAAATGCTCTACCTGCTAGACTATCTCTTTGACCCTGATTCCTTTTTAAATTCATTTGTTTATTGATTAATACAGTTTGATTTTTTTATGATTTTTGGGTCACACTCAGCAATGCTTAGAGCTTACTCCTGGCTCTGCACTCAGGAATTACTGCTGGTGGTGCTTGGGGACCAAGTGGGATACTGGGGATCAAACCCAGGTCGGCTGTGTGCAAGGCAAATGCGCCACCCACTATACTATCACGCTGATCCCTAATACGGTTTAATATCCATTTGCAGAGGTGAAATAATCAGGTTAAAATGTTCTTAGTGTGCTTACATTCAGCCTCATTAATGGATATCAAGTATGATAAGCTGATGTTTAACCTTTAAAGTTGAAAGCAGTACAGCTAAATGACTGAAATGATTTTAGATAATGAGTGATATCATGTGATTTACAAATGTCAGGGCATTTTTCTCAGTGACAGGGAGTAGCTTGATTAAATATAATTAATAAGGCCTATTTTGACCAAGTGTGGGTACTGAAAGCAGTCCCCAATTTTATGCATCCTTTGATGATAGATGTTGCAACTATCTATATCTCCCATATGTAGTCCTTTATAGAGTTATGACATGTTGCTGATGTGCTTTCCAACATTTCTCCTTTTAATAAGTTTTAGTTTATTTTTCAGTATTGGTTACCATTAGGGAAACTAGGGATGATACTTTGACTACCAGGATGAAAAGCAGAGATATCATGATATTTGATCTTGACACTTAAGAAATGATCTATATCCAGGTGGAGTGCATAGATTATTGAGCAAGAACTGTGTTTAAAAATTCGTTATTTCATGTTTACCATGTTTAAAATTTGATTTCAATTTTCTTTTGATTTTCTTGTGATCAGTTCCAAAGAGGTGTTTGAAAGCACGAGAACATTTTGCTACAGTGAAGACACATTTAACATCTTTGAAGACCAAATTTCCTGCTGAACAGTATTACAGGTTTGTATGAAAACAAAATGTTATTTTAAAAGTAACGTTTCATAATTTTTGAAAAGAAAAAAAAACAGAAAAAAACTTATGTGCTGAGTCATTGCTTACAGAAAATCAGGCAGATTTTCTGTGTAGGGAAAAAAAAGTCTTCTGTGTAGAACAAAAAAAGGCAAAATGGAAAGAATAAAATTGTTTTGGGTCCACACTTGGACGGCGCTAAGGGCTTACTCCAGGTTCTCTGCTCAGGACTCACTCCTGGTGATGCTCAAGAGACCATTTTGGTGCACCAGGGATTGAACCAGAATTGCTGCATGCAGGGGCAGGTGCCTAAAACTCTATCTCTCTGGTCCCCCTTGTTCCTTCTTTCTCTCTCTCACTCACTCACTCTCGCTCGTTCTCTCTTTAGATTGGGGCCACCCCTGTTGGTGCTGTTGGGTCAGGGTAGGGCTGTGACAGCATATTATGTTTGTGTTCGACCGCTCCAGCTCTTCTTCTGCCTCTTTCCTGAGCTTTTATGTCCTTCTGGATGCTGGTAATTAGGGGTAATAACTATTTTTTTATGTGTGTGAATCATTATTTTATGGTATTTTCATGGTATCCTAAGCTGACATCAAAATGTGGCGCTTTGGGTTAGGTCCTTTTTTTTTTTTCTCTCAATTTGAAAGCAGTCGTTTATTAACTCACCAGATTATAAAAATATGGTAGATACCTTAGTTCATCTGTCTAATTAGTTGTTTGATCTGGTCTTTTCTGTTGCCAGCATCACCACTTTCTACAAAATGGGTGGTCTTTTTCTTCATCCCATCCCGGGGAGAAGATAATTCGAAGGGCCAGAGGAAGTTGTCTGCCTCTTTGAAGCATTTTCTAACAGTATAGATCTCATGAATCAGAGCCTCCATGCAGACGATGCTATACTTACCCAGAGTTTGCGCGATCATTAGGGCAATTGGCTTCTTGTGAATTTTACCATAACCACGCTTGTAGATCAGTTCATTTACTGACTTCAGGTTTGGGTACTCCCATGCAATATAGAGTTCCTCGAGCCTCAGCATGTTAATTGAAACCCTGTTGAGTTTAACAAAGGTACCATTGAAGATCTGGCGAAGGTGGAGAAGTTTAGCACCTTTCGGACCTTGGGGCTCACATTATTGACACCTCTCATCCTGATCACAAAAGCCAGTTTGGGTTCCACAGGGACGTAAAAGTTCCCAGCTTTTCTCGCCATCCTAGCCATGCGAGTCTCCGTCCTGTACATCTGCCTGTACTCCTTGTGATAATACTTAGCTTTTTCGTAGATCAGCTTCCTCCTTGCCTTTCGAAGCATCTTTTTTTTTTTTCCTTTTTGGGTCACACCTGGCAATGCACAGGGGTTACTCCTGGCTCTGTACTCAGAAATTAGTCCTGCCGGTGCTCAGGGGACCATATGGGATGCTGGGACTCAAAGCCAGGTTGGCTGCGTGCAAGGCAAATGCCCTACCCGCTGTGCTATGGCTCCAGCCCCTCGAAGCATCTTTTGAGCAAACTTCTTTCTCAGACGCTTGATCTTCAGCTCCGTGAAATTCTTTTGCTTTTTCTTCAGGGTTTCTGGGACATCAAAAACTTCTTTTTTTTCTCTCTGGTCACTGCTGCCGGCTTAGCAGGGACCTTCTTTTTCTTCTGTGCCCCCCATGGTTCCAGTCAGAAAAGAGGAAGCTCTGAGTTAGGTCTTGAAGCTGAAGTACAGCTGCAGTTCTCATCAGTTCTCATCAGTCTTCAGCTTCTTTTATTTCCTCAGCAGTTTCATTTTTCATACTGCTTCAGCTTTTGAAGTATTGCTTATTTGCTTGTCATTTAGAAATTTTTTGCTGTCATTGATATTGGAGCACACTTTATAAAATCAAAGTGATAAATTGTCTTTATCACCTTGCAAAATGTCTTTATCACCTTGCAAAATTCCTACTGACTCTATCTATATGGTTTCAATGCCCTGGTACTCTTTAATTTTTTTTTTTTCTGACATAAGGTTTCCTATAAGATTTTCTTGGTGTGTGAGGAAGGATAGTTCAGCAGGTTGGGCGTTTGCCTTCCATGTGACCTACTGGAGTTCAATCCCTGGCATCCTGTATGGTCCCCTGAGCACCACTAGGAGTAATTCCTGAGTGTAGAGGCAGGAGTAACTCCTGAACTCACTGGGTGTGACCCAAAAAGAAAAAAGATACTCTTGGAAGGAGGATTCCATTTCTAAGCATCTGAATACAGCTGGAGCACCCTTCCTTTCTCAAACTCTCCCTCATCCCTGAGAGTCACTGTGCTTCTCCATGCAGGTTTCACGAGCACTGGAGGTTTGTTTTGCAGCGTTTGGTTTTCCTGGCAGCGTTCGTTGTGTACTTGGAATCAGAGACGCTTGTGACTCGAGAAGCAGTGACAGAAATTCTTGGCAGTAAGTGTCTTCATTTTCTTCCCATGCAGTCTTAGGTATAGTACCCTACTTTTCGATGCAAGGGCTTTTGCTTTTACTTTTTCTTGCTTAAAACAAATCTAGGGGTGGGGGTGGTGGGAGGGATGCTAGAACCATTGGTGGTGGAAAATGGGCACTGGTGGAGGGATGGGTATTCGATCACTGTATGACTGAAATGCAAGCATGAAAGTTTATAAATATGCAACTGTACCTCACGGTGATTCACTAATAAAAAATTAAACAAACGAATCTAAATGGATATAAGTGGTTAGGAGGGGATCCTGAACCTAGTGGAGGGAAGTGGACTCTGGTGAAAGGTATATGTATCCATGGAACACTCGTGGACAGTATTGAAAATCACAGTGCCTCAGATTAACGAGATTTTCAATTCTTTTTAATATTGGTTCTTGAGCCATAACTGGAAATGCTCTGGGCCTACTCTTTACTCTGTGCTCAGGGATCACTCCTGGTAGTGCTTAGGGGACCATGTAGGATGCTGGACTTTGAGCTCGAGTTGGCCACATGCAAGGCAAGCACCATACCACATAGCACATACTATCGCTGTCACCCCAAGAATTTTTTTTTTAAAAAAAGATAGAAAATCAGTTACTTGGAAGCGCAGAAATTGAAAGTATTCAGTGATGTGACATGCTTAGTGTGCTTGGGGTATGTCCCTCACTTCCCCCCTTTTCACTTACAAAACTTAAATTGAGATTCCTAATGACTCACCATCCTGTAGCCGTTTTAGAAGTACAGCTTCACAGTAGCTTGGGCTTTTTTAAGTTTTTAAAATTTAGCGTTTCGGGGTTTGCTTTAGTACCACGAATATACCTAGGACCTCATTCATGCAGAGCATAACACATGTCCTTTACCACTGAGCTATAGTCCCGAGCCTTTAAATTCAGGGTTCTTTTTTTTTCCACCCCGTTTTTTGTTTTTCTGTTGGGTCTGGGGATTGAATTTAGGATCTTTCACATTCAAGGCAAGTTCTACCTTTGAGCAACACCTCCGATTCTAAAATTCAGTTTAAAAAATTTTAAGTGTGGGATAGCAAGATAGCAGTTGTGGGTAAGGCACTTTCTTTGCATACAGGATCCCTCTATGTGATCCTTGACCACCACCAAGAGTGATCCCTGAGCAGAGTCAGGAAGAGCCCTAAGTATTGCTGGGTGTAGTAGCCCAAACCCATCCGTACCCCGAGTTTTAAGCTTATATACTGGTGGAAGGAATAGTACCGTGGACACCGTGCACAGCAGACTTGGATTGAGCATGTTCATATTTGCTTAGTCTTAGGTGGTAGATAGGAGATTTCTGCATGTGTGTGAGTGTGTGAGAATATTTTACAAGTCAGTTGCAGATAGTGTGACTTCCTAAAATTCTTCAGTTGCATCTTTTGGGAATTCTGATTTTTTAGTTTTTGACTTTTCAAAAAAAGCTGTTTTTTTTTTCTTTTTGAAATGATGCTCTGGGGCTGCTCTTTGTTTTGGTTTGTTTTGTCTTTTGTTTTTCGTTTGGGGGGGCCTCATCGGGTGATGCTCAGGGCATACTTTTGACTCTGCAATCAGGGATTATCTCTGGTGGTGCTCTGGGGATTGAACTCTGGTCAACCATGTGCAAGGCAACTTTTCTGCTGTACAGTTGTTCTGGCACCCATGGTGCTACACTTGTTCAGTGCTCAGGGGACATGCAGTGTCTGGAATTTGGGCACCTGCAAAGCATGTTCTTATCCTGCTGAGCTATCTCTGGTCTCAGTTTGCATTTTCTCTCCTTTGATTTTTAGCTTTTAGGCCACACCAAGCTGTACTAAGAGTTTACTTCTGGCAGACTTAGGGGATCATATGAAATGTTGGGAATAAAATGCAGGTCAGCCATGTGCAAGGCCTGCACCCTATCCTTTGTACTATGTCTCCAGCCCCTCAGTTTGCATTTTTTAACAATAAAGGTACAAAATAAAAAAGTAGATATTGGGGCTGGAGCGATAGTACAGTGGGGAGGGTGTGTTTGCCTTGCACATGGCCAACCCGGGTTCGATCCTCAGCATCCCATATGGTCCCCTGAGCACCATCAGAAATAATTTCTGAGTGCAGAGCCAGGAGTAACCCCTATGCACCGCCGGGTGTGACCCAAAAAGCCAAAAAAAAAATGTAGATATCATTCTTAGTAGCAGTCATTTTTGAGAGAAGAATACAAGGACAAAGTTGAATATTACTTACAGACTCCAAGGGCTCATAGTGAAAGTCAAATTTTTGAGAGTATGAATACATTAAAATGGTTATAAAAGCACCCTTTCTTTGCTTGGAGGAGAATTTTATATATATACCAGTAATATTAACTGTGTGGACTTAAATTCTGCTCACAGCATGACCTCATTTTTGTCTTGATAAAATTTTCAGTTGAGCCAGATCGGGAGAAAGGATTTCATCTGGATGTAGAAGATTATCTCTCTGGAGTTCTAATTCTTGCTAGTGAACTGGTAAGAAACTCAGTAATGGCATTTGTTTATTTTGTAATCTGTTCACTTCATTGTCAGCTTTTTTTTTTTAATTAATTGTGTTGGGACCACACCTGTTGGTTCTGGGCGGTTGTTCCTAGCATTTTGCTTTGCAGACCAGGTGGTGCTGGGGATTGAACCCAGGCCTCCTGCATGCAAAGCCTATGCTTGGTCTTTTGTGCTCGCTCTCCAGCCTTAATGTTTTATTGGATAAGAAAGTTTCAGAAAGTGAATTGTTTTCTAAGCATCTAACCCACCATTGACGCTGCACGTCCTGTATTAGACTTCACTGGTCATCAGAAAAGTGCCAGTTTCATCAGTGTAATGCAGGCAAACTAATGTGTGAATTTTGAAAAGCGATCCCTTTCAAAGTACTGACAAGCACTGGTGACTATAAAGAATTGTTTTGGTGGTGTTCAGATTTTTCTTGTGCCTTTATAATCTCTTTCCTGGGAAATTGTGCTATAAAGCCAATTATAAAGAAGAGAAATGCTCTCATAAAGGTGCTCACTGAAGCAGCATCCATATTTATCAAAATGTGTGGGCCACAGGTATTCCAGTAACAGGGAATTGGGTGTGGAGACTAGGAATGTCATGGAGGGACTGTAGGGGCAGTTCTGTGGCCTGGGGTTTTAGGCGTGTTTTGGTGGCTGCTGTGTTAAGGAAAGTCCTGTTGTTCCTTCTGCAGTCCAGACTGTCTGTCAACAGTGTCACCGCTGGAGACTACTCCCGGCCTCTCCACATCTCCACCTTCATCAATGAGCTCGATTCGGGGTTCCGCCTTCTCAACCTGAAAAATGACTCCCTGAGGAAGCGCTATGATGGCCTGAAGTATGATGTGAAGAAGGTGGAGGAGGTGGTCTACGATCTCTCCATTCGAGGCTTCAACAAGGAGACAGTCGCCGCTTGTGGAGAGAAATAGGACAGTTGTTCGTGAGGGGAGCACAGTACCTCTCGTAGTTAGGATGCTCCGTTGCTACACAGCCCTCGCTTTCTTTTCTTAGAGTTGTGTGGTGTAAATAGCAGTCGCAAAACTCTTTTTGGGGTGCGGGGAGGGGGTAAACAAATAGCCTTTACTGGGACAGATTTTTTTTTTGTCGTTTCAGTGAGTTTGCTCTGTAATTCAGTGTGTTTCAGTTTTGTCAGAAAGTGTAATTTCCCGCCATAAAGTCCTTTTCTTCCTTACCTTAGTACTGTTGATAGACTGATTGAGAAGTTAATTGTCTTATGTGTCATTCTTCTTGAAGTACTCTTTATGTTTTTTTAATAATCCAAATTAGCCATCTGTGCCTAGGTATAACCTGGGACACAGTATAAAAGTAGTTCATTAAAAAGGATGGTTACCAAGCAAAGGACAGTTTATTTTGTATTTCCCTTATTTAAGCCTTGTGAATAAATTAGATGTTGATTTGGGGGTGGGGAGGGATGGGTGGATAGGGAGTTATAGCCCTAGGGTTCTCTTTCACTGCCATCAAAATAAAAAAGGTCAAACTGCAAAATCAAATTCAACAGATTATTTTGGGAAGTTTTCTTTGTATCAGGGGATTCAGTAATTCAATAGCATCTTAATTTTGCTCTTTTCAGAGTAGTAGGGCTTATTGTTTAAAAAAACAAACCTGTTTTCTAATGTTGCCTTAACATTCTGCTACTGCAGCACTTAATTGTCCATACACATAATACACACACACACACACACACACACACACACACACACACACACCTGGAACTAAAACTTCATGTGAAGTTCAAAGCTATAAAATCTTACTCCTACCAGCTGGCGAGACTGATTGACCTGGGAGTGTGAAGCTCTCCAGTTAAGGTAATTAGCAATACCCTAACTAGTGTGTTCTGAGTAGGAAAAAAATGTTGTGTTTTGTCTGGTAGGAAGCGAAATGTTTAAAGAAAAATCAGCTGACTCAGTAATTTGTTTTTGAATACACAATTTCAGGTTGCCATACCAACAGCTGGGTTTTACATTTATAATTTTGGGTGAGTCATGTGATTTTGTTGGCACTCTTTGCTCCCTCTTCATTTTCAAGTAGTACTAAGAACACTTGCTATGTAACTTGCTGTTGAATTGAAATGGTGACTTCACCTGGTGTTTCAGAGCTCACTGTCAGGAAGGTGCTAGTGCTTCCAGAGAAATCCCCCGCTTTCTTGCCTAATATGGGTTTGGGCTTCCTATTCGTACGGCGGGGGATATTTAGCATTTCCAGTCAGAGCTTTTTAATCAGACTGAGTCATGGGCTGACCACGTTTATCCATGATGGAAAGAAGTAGAAATGAGGCTGATGTTGTAACGCGTTGTAAGTTTGAGAATATGTTATTTTTTTGGACATCTTTTTCTGCAGAAGTGTCTGTAGACAGGAAGAAGGATGTGAGGGTTTTTAAAGTGCCTCAAAAGGTTGGATGGCCGTCTGAAATGTGCGGTGATAGCAGCACTTGGATTAAGCTTGAAAGGCATTTGTCGTAGGAAGTCATAGGCAGCAGGCTTCATAATGCTATGCTTTACTGTCAGTTGGGCTTGGGAAGATTAAAGTTCTTGACAGAAGTTGTGAATACGGTTTTAACAAATCCTCATTGGGTGGAACATATTCTGATCTTGTAACTCCATTAGAAACTTTTTCAAGTGTCATGTTTATAATTATTCAGTTGTGTTTTTTTTTTTTTTTGCTGTGGCTTGTAATGCAATAAAAACATTTTTTTTTTGTGGGTGTGTGTGTGTGTGTCTTGTTGTGCTGCCCCATGATTGCTTCTGTATGGAAAATAGGATTAGGTTTAAGGCTGAAGAAGACCAAGGGGCATCAGCACGTGTTAAGCAGTAGCTATGTTACTCAAGACACCAGCCACTCAGCTAATACTTCGAAGTGCAGGTAACAGTTGTATGATCTACCTTGATTCGGAACTTGAAAATATTTTGAATTGGGCCAGAGATGTAGTACAGGAGTTAAGGCGTTTGCCTTGTACATGGCTGATCCCAGGTTGGATCCCTGACCTTGCCTGTGGTTCCCTTAGCACCTCCAGGAATCATCCCAGAGCACAGAATCAGGAGTAAGCCCTGTGCACAGCCAGGTGTGGACCAAAAAAAAATCAAGAGACCAAAACAGGAGTAACTTAATGTGATCCAATGTGGGGTCCCTATCCACAGTTTCAGAAGCTAGAGTCTAGATGAGAGGTTCCCAAACTTGGCCTAATGCTTTTTTTTTTCCCCAGAAAATTACTTTTAGCATACATATTCCCATCCTGAAAACCTATCTTCTTTAAAGTGAAGCAACAAGTACCACCTTTGAGTTGAACCCTGGATCATTCTTTCCCCACTTTGGGAAACACTGGTCTGGAGTAAGTATGTTCTGGTCTGATAGTGATGTGCTCACCTTACTCCTGGTCAGAGATTGCATATGTTAGGGCCCTGGGGATGACTCAGTGACCAAAGTGTGTTTGAGTCCCAGTGCCACCAACCTGTGCTGAGGGACTCAATGAGCCCACTCGGATCCCCCAACTGCAACAAATGTGATTTGCACACAGCCAGGTCTGTTTATGCACTGCAGCTAAAGTGTGACTCTGGCGAGACACATGAGCACAGTGGGAGTTTAAGCCCTACTGAACATATTTGTGCACACCATGGCAACTGCCCTAGTACAACTCCCTGCAGCTGGGATGTGCGTGAGCACCACAGGTCGAATGTGGACCCCAGCACACGTGCACAGTGCACAGGGTGTGAGTACTACAGCTCAGTGGACTAACATGGAAGCGCTGCCACCAGATGGGAAGGCCCTGCTCGTCACAACCATAGAGGGAAGGGGTGGGGAGAGGGTGCTAGGTATGTGACTGCTGAAAAGTGGAGGACAGTGAAGTCTTGTGTGGAAGCATTAGATCCTGCAGATGGGGGTGTGTGTGTGTGTGTGTGTGTGTGTGTGTGTGTGTGTGTGTGCGCGCGCGCACGGAGGGAGGGAGCACATGAACTAAACATTGGATTTGAGGATGAATTTTATATTATTTGTTTTGGTTGGACCTTCCATATTGCGCTCAAGAAGGCTGGAGCCACACTGTTGGTTCTTGGCTAGCCAAGTCAGTGGTTTAATGGAAGGCCCCCAGGATGCCACATTGCTTGGACACTTTGGTGCTGGGGATTATCTGAGCCACCCTGGTATTCTTAGGGGACTCTCAGGCCACTCTCAGCTGCTCAGGAGAACTGGCGATGGGGGATCATATGCTAGGAAAGGGACCTTCTAGGCATGCACTTTAACTTTTACTACCTACCATCACCTAAGTTCTTTATTTTGACTTTTGGGGCCACACCTGGTGGTGCTGGGGGACCATATTTAGGACCATATTCAGGTTGTTTCCATGCAAGGCAAGGACCTTCCCTGATGTACTATTGACTGGCCCCCACTAGGTTCTCTATTAACTGATTATAGTATATCTAGGCACTTACATTTTAATAGTTTTGGGAGAGAAGCAAAGGGCAAGACTGCCTCTGGATCCCCCCCTCTCCGTTTTCTTTTGCCACAACCAGTGGTGCTTAGGGATGTTCCCAGATTAGTGCTCAGAAGTTACTCCCAGTGGTTCTCAGGAAACAGTGTGGTGCTGGGGATCAAACCCTGTGCCCTCTACCACTTACCCATTTCCCTGGCCCCATGAGTGCCTCTAGTTTGACAGAACTCACCCCTGGATGCTTGAGCTATTGATGCCCACTGAAGAGAACCTGAAAATCGGAATATTTCCAAATCCCCTTGAGGAAAATACCAAAATATTCTTGAGGAAAGCCCAAGAAAATCTGGCACAAGATTTCTTTTTTTTTTTAACGGATTCAGAAAAAATTTGACTTGATTTCACCTATATTTCTTACCGTTTATAAGAAAGACCTGAGCACTTTCGGGAGGCATTCTGAGCACTCATCTTGGAGTAGCCCCACAACCATATCCAGCTGTGACCTCAAAACTTTTTTTTTGACCTCAAAATTTGATTGACCCCACCCATAGGGTGAGCCGGACTCAAGGATGAGCAGAATTCTGAGACAATTCTGAAATTGTCTCAGAATTCCAACAGGTAGTTCAGGATGGAGGTATGTAGGGGAGGGTGTTAGTGGTTGAGCAAATTTCTAATGTGTGAGACCCTGGGTTTATCCCTGGCACCACATGGTTGCCTGCTGACTGTGCCCTGGAGGCCCCTGAGCTCTTCTGAGTGTGGCCTCTGTAATACACAGACAACATTAAAGATTGCAGTGCTCATACCTGTTAAGTGTAATTTTTGCTGCCTTTTTTTTTTTTTTGGTCTTTTTGGGTCACAACCTGGTGATACTCAGGGGTTACTCCTAGTTCTGCATGCAGGAATTACTCATGGTGGTGCTCTGGGGACCATATGGAATGCCAGGGATTGAACTCAGATCGGCTGCATGCAAGGAAAGCCCCCTCCCCATTAACCAGACCCCTGTGAATGCCTTTTCTCTTAGCATATCTTCAAGGTTCAGCCAGGTTGCTGCAAGAATCTGTGCTTTATTCCTTTGTATTGCTAATTCTTATTCCATTGAGTGAATTGAACTTGTCTTGTAATTAAAATTCTTGCATATCAGCAAGAAAGGGAACACAGCTGGGCTGAGCAGAGCACGCACTCAGTCGCCAGCTGAGTGTCAGAGGCAGAAGGACCCCCGTGCACTTCAGGTCTTCCCCTGGTGGCATGACCCCACCTCCTACTCGTGACCTTGAATACAGACTTATTCGGACTGTGTCCTTTGCACTAGTCCATTTGTGCATTCCTCACCCGGTCTGAGTTCTTTGTTGGCAATCTTGTATCTTGCTCATCGCTGAATGCCAGCCTCTGACACTAGTGCTTGCATGTAAAAACAGTCCAACAGATATCTTTAGATTGGAATGAATAGAAAAAAACACAATCCAAATCTTACATCAGCAAAGGGAAAAAGTGTTACTCGTTGTGGACATCTTAGCATTGAGCGATTAGATAGAAACTGATGATGCCGGTTCTAGGAATGTCAGGTCTTTTGGGACATGCAGAGAGCTAAGTATGGCACTCAAATAACACTGGTTTATTTCTTTTTATTTATTTATTTTTTATTAAAAATTTTTTTAATAGTGAGACATCATGAGGTACAGTTGCAGACTTACACATTTTTGTGCTTGGGTTTCAATTATACAATGATCAAATACCATCCCTCCACCAGTGCCCACTTCCCACCACCACGGATCCCAGTATCCCTCCCACCCCCCATCCCCCCCCCCATCCCACCCTGTCACTGTGGCAGGGCATTCCCCTCTGTTCTCTCTCTCCTTTTGGGTGTTAACACTGGTTTATTTCAACCCTTTTTTTTGGTCTCTCCCCATTTTCTCAGTCCCATACCCTGAGAAAAGATGGGTGGCACATTGAGATCAGCAATGTGACCACTTCCATGTCTAGATTGGGGTTAGCCTGCAGAGGGGTGCTGAGGGGATGTACTGGTGTGCAGTGAGAGAGAGTTGGAGAGAAGAATCTGGGGGAGATTTGATGCTCAACTACTCAGATGGAACTTGGAACAGATTTTGCTCTTATTTATTGGGCTATAGGTAGAAAAAAAGCCACAGAAGTCTGTAGTTCAAAGATGATTGATATCTTTGGGGCTGGAGAGATAGCACAGCGGGGAGGGTGTTTGCCTTGCACGCGGCCAACCCGGGTTCAATTCCCAGCATCCCATATGGTCCCCTGAGCACCGCCAGGAGTAATTACTGAGTGCAGAGCCAGGAGGAACCCCTGTGCATCGCCGATTGTGAACCGCCCCCCCCCCCAAAAAAAAACAAAGATGATTGATATCTTTGGCACATTGGGGTGGCTTTCATCCTGAATGTATCTTATAACAGGTGGGACATTTGTTAACTCCTTGTGATTATTTATACTTCTTTAGGGCTGGAGCAATAGCACAGCAGTAGGGTGTTTGCCTTGCACGCAGCCAACATGGCCGACCCGAGTTCGATTCCTCCGCCCCTCTCGGAGAGCCTGGCAAGCTACCGAGAGTATCTCGCCCGCACGGCAGAGCCTGGCAAGCTCCCCGTGACGTATTCGATATGCCAGACACAGTAACAACAAAGTCTCCAATGGAGACGTTACTGGGCCCGCTCGAGCAAATCGATGAACAACGGAAGGACAGTGACAGTGACAGTGACAGTTGCAAGAATTGAAAATTGTATAAACAAACACCACCCCAAAACCATACCTCTTTTTTTCTTTTTTTTTTTTGGAATCACAGTGAGATACACAGTTACAAAGTTGTTTATGATTGAATTTCAGTCATATAATGTTCCAACTCTCATCCTTTCACCTGTGTCATTTCCCACCAGCAATGTCTCTGTATCCCTCCCCCAGTTCTCCCTCATCCCACCTCTCATAACCGCCTCCATTTAGCAGGCACTTTTCTTTTTTCTCTCTCCTTGTGGTCCTTCTTGTGTAAACTCATAAAAGGGCTGCAGCAGCAGCTCTATCTCTCCTGCCGCCCGCGTTCAGTGGTCTCACACCGGTTCCCCCACGCTGGGGAGGTCAGTGATAAAGGGCAGGCAAAGGAAGGAAATGAGGGCCGGGCTGGTTGGTCTTAGTTGCAGTTTATTCCAATCCTCTCTCCATCCATTCCTGTCTCTCTCCTCTGCCTCCTCCTGCCCATTCTTACAGTCTCATTATATCCC